AGAGAGAGAGAGAGAGAGAGAGAGAGAGAGAGAGAGAGCGCTGACAATCTTAGCACGCACTAAGATCGCCATCTCTCTCTCTCTCTCTCTCTCTTGCTCTCGCTTCCGCCCCCCCTTCCCTGGTTTTATTTCTTTGTTTTTCTTTTCTCGGCTTAAATTTCTAGAATCTCATTCGTTTTTGAAGTGTTGGTTTTGCTTTTTCTTGTTTTTTGTGTTCTTAGAAATGAAGAGTTTCCCTCTACCGGTAGCTCTAGGCTCGACAAGGCTCGCGCCATACCGGTAGCAGGAGGGTCGGACTTGAGAGCTGGGAAAGGTACTGGTGATGCCTGTACAGTTCATAGTAACTGGCCCCACTGCTTGGCGGTGCTTGGTGCCAGGAAAACATCCACCTGCCCAAATCGTAGCCGGCAAGCGAAAAGGGATGCCACCTCCACGGCAATTTTTGGCACTTCCCGAGGTTTCTATTACCCGATCAGGAAGACTTGCCTTTTCAGGCAAGTTTGCATCCGCTTTCTCAGCACGCCAACCAATCCTCTCCTTTCCGCACGGGATGGGTCGTATGTTTGCCAACCTCTAGAGGTTGGCAAATGCACCCTGTAGTAGATCCAGCCATCCCATGCAGGAAGGATGCACGGGGATTGGTTGGTGTGCTGAAAAGCCGGAGGTAGGCAGAGTGGAAACAAAAATGCTTGTTTTTGCCGCCAGTAGTGGAGTCTCAAAAAATCTCTTCCAAAGGCTTGACACCAGCCAGTGGGGTCCATGGCAAGCCTTAGATGCAAAAGCATTTTTCTCGTTTCATGAGTACTAGCGAGGTCCCTAATGCAGTGCCTTGTCATAATGGTAGGCCGGGAGCATGACACTTTTGATTTTGATGATTGTGGGCCTCCCTGCACTACTCACCAAATGCACAAAAGACAAAAATGATGGCTGTGCATCGTTCCGTGTTCCAGTGGAGTATTCATTCTCATTTTGTGCATTTGGTGAGTGGTGCCGCGAGGCCATGTGTCTTCCTTTCTGGGGGTAGATTTGCACTGATACCACGCTGGGCGTGGGCACACAGCCAGGACGCCGGGCGTATCACCGAGTGTGGTGTGTGTGTGTGTGACTACAGTGGGTCTCGGGCGAGGCCTTGTGTCTTCCTTTCTGGGGATAGATTCGCACACTCCAAATAGAGGTCAAGTTGGGTGTAAAATAAAACGATTATTGCAGCGGATGGGGGTTCGGACTGACCCATGTGGCTGAATGGAACATTCATGGACTGTTGATAAATAGCCCCGAAAAGAGAACCTTTTTTTTTTTTTTTGTCTTCTTCTTCTTCTTCTTCTTCAAAGTACAAAACAAAGGCTTCACAGCTAAAGCGACAAAGCTATTGATTTGTTACCAGATGGCAGCCCTTCCCATAACTGCTGACGGTTCAACAGCAACCTCCACTGCTCCCGGAGCTGAAATTCTCTACCTTTTTCCTTTGACAACTATGGTCAGTTGCTGCCTTTTGTACTGATTAATTTGTGCTGGTAGGTTTTATGCCTTCTTCTATGTTTTCTTCCCTAGTCTGTGGCAGCACTCTCCTGTAGTTCTTAGTGTTTCGTAGAATGCACTATAAATAGGATATCACTTTGATTGCATAAGCTCTGCAGACCTGTGTAGGGTTGTAGTGTAGGATGCACGATAAATAGGATCTCACTTAGGGTCTCGTTAGACACTCCTAAAAATGCCTGTTTTTAGGATTGCATCGTGGTTGCACGCATTCCTAAACCCGATTTTGAGATCGAAAATGTGAAAACGGCGTTGGGACTCGTCCTAAAGAATTTAGGATTCCCCAGGCAAAATTTCCTAAATTTTTTACTTGCCCCCGACCTACTGAAATTTTTAGGGAGCCGCGTTTGACGGAGTCGTGGCGTGGCGCGCATGGCACCGTCGTGTCGGACTCCGTGGTGCAGAAGTCGTCCTTCGGGCCAGGAGTCGGACATTGGAGGCCTTCGGTGGGCCGACGGAGGCAACGGCCACCACCGGTAGCCGTTGGCGGGCGGGGTGGACCATGGGGGGCGAGCGAGGGTGCCCTGTGGTCCGTAGTCGACCGTTGGCTTCGATGCGAAACGCAGAGGAGGGCAACGACTCGCGCAGCACGACATAACGACGACCAGCGGGCAGTAGAGGGGCCCCAACGGTCGAAATTTGAACCGCTGGCGTCTGCCTGTGTCATCCTCCGCGCGCTTCTCACCTCCCCGTCCTCAACCGGCCAGGGCCCACCGCCGTCTGTACCACGGACACCAGGCTGCAATGGATGGATATTGACGGCGCGGCTCCGTATACGTATATGAGAACTGGCCGCGGGAGACCCGTTAGGACGGTTCCTAAAAGATAGTTTTTAGGATTGCATGCAACGACGCCGCAGCGAATCCTAAACTTCTTTTAGGACTCGTCCTAAAGAATTTAGGAATCCTTTTAGGAGTGTCTAACGAGACCCTTAGTCTATGTGAGTCTTAGTATAACCTACGGACATTGAAAGTGTCTGTGCTATTGTGTTTTGAGTTTGCCTATTTTTTGAGTTCTCATTGCTGACTGCGACCGGGGCATGAACCTGGCCGAAGTGCCCGCATCATGCCATAATGGTCGGCCTTTGTGAGGGATGCCGGACCCGGCTTCCGGCTTTTTAAATTTGAAAAAAAAAAAAAAAAAAAAGCCCCAGGGTGTTGTAGAGGCCAAGGACCTGACTCGGTGATTGCTGGTAGCGGCAGCCAATGGTTGTCCTTACAGGAGAGGCCACCTACCCTACCAACTCTCTGCACTACTCTCCACATGAAGAAAAGACAAAAAATATGGCGGTGCATCTTTCCATGTTCTAGCAGAAGATTCATTCTCATTTTGCACATCTGGAGAGTAGGGCAGCCAGGCCCATATTCGTACCATGAAGGGCCTGGCTTTACTTTTTTTTTTTTTTTTT